ATGGTCGTCTCTTGCGACAGGGGGCACATCTGAGGACGATGGCAACGGCGATGACCAATAGATGAAGGGAGCGATGGGGATGCGGATGACGCCCTAAAGGATGAGGAGAGGATGGGGCGCGAGACAAATGAGCTCGGCAATGAGGGGACGGGGGAATACGATGAAGAAGACGAGAAGGATGAGGAGGAGGATGAGGAGGAGAGGGGGAAGAGGAGGAGGATGAGGATGAGAGGATGAAGAGGCGGATGAGGAGGATAGGACGAGGCAGAGAGTAATAGCACGGACAGGCAACGACGACAGAGGTCAAGCGGCGTCGGAGCCGTCGCGCCCGGGCGCCGGCGTCGGCGCGCGCGTCGAGCTCCTGCCGCGGCCCAGCTACCCAGTTCTCGCTGTCTCTTACTCGCCGCGCCCGCCCGCTCAGGATCCCACACCCCCGCGAAGACAACCGATGCGGTTTTCCCGAGCCGCGCCCAGCCATTGCGAAGACGACAGGCTACAGTGATGGCAGCCAGAAAAGCAGGGTTGCGCGCGTGAGGTGGGCCCTGCCACTCCCCGTCCTTCCCCGCTCCTTACTCCCACTTCTTCCTGATCTCCACAGAAAACGAGCCGAAACAACGTGCTATTAACAATTGTGGCGTCCAAACACCACCGCCCCATCCCCCCGCCTCCGCGATCCACCCCGACCGCCCTCCCCCTTCTCGTACGCGACACCCTTTCAATTAATGTAGACGCGACCTCCTTGCTCAACCTGCCACCTTCGCTCCTCTCCATCCTCTGCTACCTCCATTCCGTGGCCAGTTTTGGCTCGAGTGAAGCCCGCGGGCTACGCAGAAGGCACGCCACTTCCGCCACCTCCGCCCCCCTTGGCTGCCACGCCAAGTCAGCGACGAGCTGGCTCTGCACTGTTCGACGAACTTCTGGGTTTGTACGCACCGTGCAGGTTGAACGCTAAACAGTTCAGCACGCTCTGCGATTTGGCCAGCAAAGCTGGCGTGCCAGGCGCGAGGTGGAGCGTTTTCGCCAAGGAGCCTGGCCTACAGACAGGCCGCCACCAACGCGACCTCGACAAGGCGCTGCCTCATCCTGATCATGTATGCCGCGCGTGCGTGCCAGTGCACGAGAATCGCTCGGAGATTTGATCCGCGCGCTTGCATTTTGTCTCGCTGGTGTACGAAACACTTGCAGATGAGCTTGCCGCCGGTGATTCCATCGCAGCTGGCTTCCAGGAGCCAGCAATCCAGCGTGAACCATCTGTTCTGGACACGCGTGTATACAGAGATCACTCTGCCGTCGTCGCCGCGTCCGCCGCAGGCCAATTGCCGCCGTTACCACTTGCCGTCTACGTGGATGGCGTCAGATACCAGAGCCATGCGGCTGGCCGCAGCGACGCCGTGACTGGTTGGTGGGTCGTGAATCTACTGTCGGGGCGCAGGCGCGCAGTGGCAACCTTGAGGCATTCGGACGAATGCCAGTGTGGATGTCGCGGGTGGTGCTCAGTGCACCCCATTTTGAACAACATCAGGTGGCAACTCCTGCATCTCCAGGGCGGCAGACGACCCGCTACCAAGTGGGGTGGCACAGCGCGGCCCGAGGGCACCAATACAGCTGCGCTCGACTTCAGCGCGGTCCTCCTCTACGTCAAGGGGGATTGGTGCGAGCATTCCAGGACCCTTGCCCTCGGCAGTTGGAGCCAATTCCACAACTGTTGTCAGTTCTGCGACTCCCCCAGAGACGACCTCATCTTCGACGTTGACTTGACCGCGGGGGCGGCGTTCCTTGAAACGATAGGTCCCACGAGGACTACGAGCGCGCCCTTCAACACTGCGAAGTTCGCGTGCGCATCGACACGCACGCCCAACTCCAGGAGTTAGACCGGCGCATTGCATGGCTGACGCACAACAAAGGTATCAACGGCCGTGGGTTTGCACATGATGTTGTCTTCAACGGAGTTCAGCTGCGAGCAGGTGGCTGGCTCGAACCCAGCGAGGACCTCGGTGACGTTGGTGATAGATTCAAACCAACATTGCCCGTGACGTTCATTTTTTGGCGGTCACGTTTCAGCAGGTCGGGGCTGCCAATGGATTCGATACACCATCGTTGCCCACTCTTCGATCACCGCCTCAGCAGTTCACCTGCGCGCACGCTGGCGGTGGACGCCATGCGCGCAATCCACTTGGGCATCGCCCAACGAGTGGCGTCGGCAACATTGCGTCGGATCATCTTGAAAAATCCGCGGGGTTACCAGGGCCGCCTTCGCACAGTGCTGGGCCTGTGCATGCGCCAGTTGCAATCTGATCTCAAGGCGTGGTCAGCAATAGCTGGACTGCCACGCTCGGACAGGCTCGGCGCGCTCGCGCTGAAGATGATCGGCCAGTTGAAAGATTACGACTTCGAGGATGCGCATCTCTGCTCTTTCTCATCATACATCTTTCTCCGCCTCCCTCTCCCCTTCCTTCTCTGACTCCACCGCCCGCCCGCTCCTGGCGCGGGATTCCATAACAACATCCTCCTCAGCGTCCACCTTCCCCTCTCCTCCCCCCTGACCGCCCCCTACCTCGCCCCCATGATCCCCCTCTGTGTTTTCGGTCGTCGTCTCGAGTCTGGTAGCGGCCCTAGCGCTCCAAGGCCGCGATCCTTTGCGCTGCTGGTTCTCCTTTTCTCATTGCGTGCTCCCCTGTCCTCGTGCCCTCTCTCTCTCTCTCTCTCTCTCTCTCTCTCTCTCTCTCTCTCTCTCTTTTTCCTCTCTCTCTCTATCCCCCCCCCCCTCGCTCTCCCTCTCTCTCTCTCTCTCTCTCTCTTCTTCTCTTCTCTCTTCTCTCTCTCTCTCTCTTCCCCTTCTCTCTTCTCTCTCTCTCTCTCTATCTCCTCTTTCTTTCTCTCTCTCTCTCTCTCTCTCCTACTCCTCTCTCTCTCTCTCTCTCTCTCTCTCTCTCTCTCTCTCTCTCTCTCTCTCTCTCTCTCTCTCTCTCTCTCTCTCTCTCTCTCTCTCTTTCTATCTCTCTCTCTCTCTCTCTCTCTCTCTCTCTCTCTCTCTCTCTCTCTCTCTCTCTCTCTCTCTCTCCTTCTGTCGCTCGCGTGCGCGACGCAACGGCCCCATGGACACGATCGGCCTCTAGGCGATAGGTGCGCCATTTGCGGCCGTGCCTGGTCGTCGCTACAGCTGGGTCCGCCTCGAACGTTTGGCCAGAACGCGCCGCGTGGCATATCCAGGGGGGCGGGGGCACCCGGTGGGGAACCGCCGCGATCACGGAACATGCGGCATCAGCGCGCGGACCACCCTGGCACCCCGATGGCTACGAAGGCTGCAGAGACGGCCTTACTCTTGGAGTTCTCAGCGTGGGCAGTGAACAAATATGGTGGAGAAGCTCGATTCGGCACCCACTTGATCGTTGCACTTACGTCTCTGCAATGCCTGTTGGAATCCACGCGCGCGTTGCGTGCAGTTGTGGGCGAGGCAGGTCAGAGTCTCCTTATGGACCAGAACGATGTCCACATACGAGCTTGCAAATTGGCAGGGGTGTCGATCACGCCCAAACACCATCTCGCGTGCCACGTGGCACACAGGAAGTTCTTAGGGGATGAAATTTTGGTTTTCTTCCTCCTCCCCCCCCTCATCCCCCCCCCCCCCATCCTCCTCCTCCTCCTCCTCCTCCTCCTCCTCCTCCTCCTCCTCCTCCTCCTCCTCCATCTCCTCCTCCATCTCCTCCTCCATCTCCTCCTCCTCATTTTCCTCCTCCTCCTCGCCCGCCCCGCCCGGCCTTTCATCCATTGCTCCTGCCCCCCTGGCCCAACCCGCAGTCCATAGTCTTTCGGCCGTGCTCGCAGAAAAAATTGGCCGTCGCCCCGCAGGCCCCGCTCCGGGGCTAGGCCAGGGTTGCGAGAGAGTTCCAGGGGGCGATATCCGAACCGAAGGAGCACGACAAGAGGCGGAACGACGGCGGGTTGGGAGCGAGACGGGGCGAGGGGGGAGGGGGGGGGGGGGGGCGTCAGAGAAGGAGTTTTTTTTGGTGGAACCAGAGCGCGTCGGTGATTGGGCGTGGCGCGACGCATCTTCGGTGGGAGTTTGTGGCGCGGTAACCCCAAGCTCTACACTTGCTGGCTTGACGAATCATTGAACATTGCGCTTCGGGACGTTGCCCGTTTTTCCCACCGCCGCACTTTTGAGTTCCGAGTGTTCTTTATGCTCGGCTTTCACAAGTTGCTCGGCCTATCCAAGTGGCTTTCCAACAAACCATGGCAGCCGACGGCCCCTGTTCGCCGCTGCTGACGCTGGCGGCCCTGATATGCTTGTGCGCAAGCTGTTCGGCTGTGACCGCTGGCGCCGCGATGCCAGAGCACATGGAAGCGCGTCGCTGGGCATCCAGCTCGGCGACCGAGTTGAAGCGGCGCGGAGTACCGCAGGCAATTCGCAGCCCCGGCGACAGCGAGGCCATGATCAGGGCAGCAAACGACATCATGTGGCGCGAGCTTTCTTCCATCCCGAGAACGACTGTTTTTATATATATATATATATATATATATATATATATATATATATATATTTTGTGGTGCATCGGAGACAACTTCGTTGTGCAGGTCAAAATGGGGCATGGTTGCTTACTCAATTGATATGCTGGGGGGGCCCTCCCAGGACCTGTGCGCGGCTGCTGGGCTTCTGTGTGCCGTGTATTTGCTCGCAAGTCTGAGCGCTCTCACTCTGTGCCATTTGAGCCCGCAGTGTTCGACGTGGCTGGACCTGCGTCGCTGGCGCACCTGCGGGCCCAGGGAAGACCCCGAGGGCGTCGCGCGCCGCAACGACGTCATTCAAGCTAATCACTGCGCAGCCTTCGTGTCTCACGGGTACTAAACATCCGACGTTTGTAACGTAGCTGCCGTGCGGTCGACGCTGGGTCGTCGCCAGGTCGTCGCACCCATAAGTAAAACAAGATGTGCGGTCGACGCTGGGTCGACGCAGGGTCGCCCCACGATGGTTATTTCAAACGTCGTGCGCAACGCTTTAGGTTGCGAGCCGCAAATGACTTGCAATCTGAGGCGAACGACTTAGCACCCAGTGAGACGGAAAGCCTTTCGCTGCTGGGTTTCTGTCCGCTCGCAACGTCTTCTGGTGCGTGGAGCAACCTTTCAATAGTTTACTGTTTTGGGCCCCCGCCATGCAATCGGCATGTAGAATTTCGTCGGCGCACCGCGTTGGCACGTTTCTAGGTTCGCTCGGTGCTCCGACCGCCAAGTGCATCGAACTCAGGACAACCGCCCCGGAGGATTGTGTCGGCCCGGTCAAGAGAAGCATTGTGTGCTTCAGATCGCGGACAGGCGGCCGCGCGACACAGTTAGTAAAATATGCACCTAAGCGCGCAGGCGCTTAAGGGTTGGAAGGCTGGCGTTCGGGTGAATGGCTCTCATAAGGCGCTCAAATCGTCTGGGCATTATCCGACTGAGTTTTGCGAGGTGTTGGCGGCGTTGGCCGCTAAGCTGTATTTTTCGATTCAGATGTGATACTTGAGAGGTCACCGCAGGCCACGCTGAATTCGGGGTGGAGTAGCAGTGGGAGGGTGAAAGGAAGGACGGAAGAAAGGATGGGGGGGCGCAGGGTGCATGGAGGAACGGCGAGGGGGGAAACATCTTGAGACGAGGACCTCCGCCGCTGCGAGCACACCCCCAAGGCAAGTTCTAATTGGACGAGGCGCTGTCCCTCGCCGATGCCACTCTCACCCTGTCCATCCTCGCCCTCCCTCCACCTCCTGATTCATCTCGCCATGGCACCTCCTCGTCCTCCTCCTCCTCTTGTCACTCGGCCCGCCCACGTTTGCGCGCGCGGTTCATCGCGCGGCCGGCGGCGCTCATATCCGAGCGCGCGGAGGTGCCAGCGCTGTTCCGAGACGCCACAAGGGGGGCCAGAACCTCTACTCCCGCCTACTCCTCCTCCTCCCCCTCCTCCTCCTCCTCCCCGTCCTCCTCCCCTCCCCCTCCCCCCCTCCTCTCCCCCCCTATCCCCCCGCTCCCCCCCCCCCTCCTCCTCCTCTTCCCCTCCTCCTCCTTACCTCCTCCTCCTTCCTTTTCCTGCTCCCTCATTCTCCTACCTCTTCTCCCTCCTCCTCCTCCTCCTCCTCCTCCTCCTCCTCCTCCTCTTCCTCCTCCTCTCCACCCTCTTGCCCCCCTCCTTTCTCCTCCTCGCTCTTCTCCTCCTCTTCTTCCGCCCCCCCCCCCTCCCCCTCTTCCTCCTCATCCTCTCATTCCTCCCCTTCCTCCTCTTCCTCGTCTCCCCTCCCCCCTCCCCTTGCGGCCCCCTGAGGGGTTAACTGGAGGCCCCATCGTTGTCTCTCGCGGCCCACGCTGTCTCACCCCAGCGCTCGCCGATGAAAGTTTTGCTGGCCAGTGCTGTCCCTGATAGGCTGGATGCGGCCAGCGCCCTAGCAGCCGGCGCGTTTCCGCGGGGGGGGGGGGGGGGGGGGGGGGGGCGGGGCAGGTGGGAGGGGCAGGGCGGGGGGGCGGCGGCGCCAGAACGGGAGAACAAACAAACGGCCGCGACTCCAAGAGGAGAACAACTACAGCAACGATGAAGCGAAAGGAGGAGGGAAGGGATGAGGGAGGAGGGGGGACGAGGAACGAGAAGGATGATGAGGAGGAGGGGGACGGTTGGGCCAACATCCGAAGCGCTAGAACTGCTGGAAGGCCGCGCGGGGCCCGCCACCCCGCCGCCCCATGCTGACCCGCGGGGAACTCTGGCAACTCGCAGAAGAGCGGGTTGCGCGCCGCGAGCGCATTCGGATCGACGGATTGTGTAAGGCCCACCTCCTTCTTTCATTTGTTTCCTTGTCTTCCTGCCCCTCTCGTTTCTCGTTCAGGGCCCAGCGCCTCCTCGATCCACCTCCCACCCCGTCGCCCTCTGTCCTCCCCCACCCCTCCTCGGACTCGAACCTTGTGGTTTTGGGCCTCCGCTCGCTGGAGAACTGCAACCGTCGCTACAATGGCCTCGTGATTGATATCGGCGCGCATGGATATCTTAAAGAGGTGTGTGTGTGTGTGCGTGTGTGGTGTGTGCGTTGTTTGTGTGTGTGTGTGTTGTGTGTGTGGTGTGTGTGCTTGTGTGTGTGTGTGTGTGTGTGTGGTGTGTGTGTGCGTGTGTGCGTGTGTGTGTGTGTGTGTGTGTGTGTGTGTGTGTGTGTGCGTCGTGTTGCGTGTGTGTGTGTGTGTGTGTGCGTGCGTGTGAGTGTGCGTGTGTGTGTTGTGTGTGTGTGTGTTGTGCGTGTGTGTGTCGTGTGCGTGTTTGTGGTGTGTGTGTGTGTGTGGTGTGTGTGTTTGGTGTGTGTGGGGGGGTTCTCAGAACTCACATCGCCGCTGCGTCCTCACTGCCCCCCCCCCCCCCCCCCCCCCCCCCCCCCCCCCCCCCCCCCCCCCCCCCTTCTGCCGAGTGACATTGGGCGCGGCGATGGATGGAGAAGGATTGACCACGGAGGAGGGTGGCGGTGATGCGAGTTCTGGTTTCTCGAGGATTGGGCATAACTTGAAGCTGGCAGGGCACTGCGAGTGAGGGGGGCCACCGTTGGCCTCGACTATGCTGCAGTGTTTCTCTGGCGGCACGGCGAGCGCTGGGAAGATTGGCTTTTCGCATGTTCAGCGAGCCCGCAAGGTCAGAGAGCGACCGTAGTGCCGAGGGGGGTGGAACAATCCACCGCCCCCGCTCACGGATGCAGACCTCGAATCGATGATCGGGTGAGATGGGATACATCTCACAAACAAGTAAACACGAGGAGGGGGGGGGGGGGAAGGAGGAGGAAATGGATGACTAGGACTAGGAGTAGAAGTGGAAGTAGGAGTGGGAGCTGTTGTAGGAGCAGGAGTCGGAGTACACGGGCACGACTAGGAGGAGGAGGAGGAGGAGGAGGAGAAGGATGAGGAGGAGAGGATCATGAGGAGGGAGGAGAGGAGGAGGAGGAGGAGGAGGAGGAGGAGGAGGAGGAGGAGGAGGAGGAGGAGGAGGAGGAGGAGGAGGGGGGGAGGAGGAGGAGGAGGAGGAGGAGGAGGAGGAGGAGGAGGAGGAGAAAGGAGGGGTGAGAGGAGGAGGGGAGGTGGGGGAAGAGTAGTAGGAGGAGGAGGAAGACGAGGAGCAGGTGGATGAGGGTGAGGAGGAGGAGGAGGAGGAGGAGGAGGAGGAAGAGGAGGAGAAGGAGGAGGAGGAGGAGGGGGAGGGGGCGGAGGAGAAGGTGGAGGAGCAGAGACAAAAAAAACAGTCGAGAGGACACGCGCAGAGACAAATGATCAGATAGAACCTGCCCCGCCTCAGGGCGCAGAGCGACGGGCGAGGGTTAGCCTTTTTCACGGGCTCATTTGGGGGCCTCCAGAGACCGACAACCATTAATGGTTTTCGGTCTCTGGAGGCCATCTTGTTTTTTGTTTTCGGTTCAGTGTGGATGCCAGGAATTGATGTCGGCTTCTGGAGGCCACATTGGTTTTTCGGCTTCTGAAGGCCCCTGGAGGCCGTCTGGGTGTTTTCGGTCCAGCGGTGGACCCCGAAGCAGCAAAAACGGGACAGGCAGGAGGAACGAAGAAGGAACAACCCTCCCTTGCGCTGTCCCTCCCCCCTCTCCCCCCTCTCTGCTCCTCGCCTCCCCGTGCTCCTCCGTTGCCATTTTGGCTCGCGTTCTTCATCCGAACAATCGGTGAACCTTCGATGTAGCGGTTGCGCCAGTGGGCGCAACGCCGATCCGACGTGCTTCGCCGCTGGGGCGAAGCGCGGGTACGAATGGCGCGATGGCGCTCTAAACCCGCGCGGGAAACGTTCAAGTCATGAACAGCATGTCATATAACCATCCAGCACAAAACACATGTGGTATATAACCATCATGATAGTTATACACTGCAACACCAACATGATAACCATGTGATGGTTATTTAGAACGTCTGGGCCCCCCCGCGTGGTCCGCGTAGTTCCCCGGGCCATGGCGGCTCTTTGTCCGGGGGCCGCTGGGGCCCCGGGCAACTGGAGCGGCGCGCCTATATAATTAGTCCGCGCGGAGAGGAGGGCGGTGGGCACATGGGCGGGCCTGGGGTCGGCGGGGGCCACCTCGGGGGGCGGGGGATTTCGGGGGGGCTGAGGAAGGGGGGGGGGGGGGGGGGGGGGCCTGCACAGCGGCGCGTCGTGGGGGGCCCTCGCCGCCACGGCTGGCTTCTTGGGGCGCCCGCGACGGGGCGGGCCCGCTGACCGCTGCTCGTCCTGAAGAGCCCTCGTCGCCACAGCTGGACTGCGGGGCCCAGCTGCGGGGCCGCGGGCAGCAGGGCGGGCGACGGCAGCGCCATCGGGGGCGGGGCGACGGAACATTTGCCGCATGCCCACGAGCAGCAGGACGCACTCCAGCGGCCACTTTGCGAACGACGCGGCCGACCGCGACAGTTCGACGTTGCGCAGCGCGCTGGACTCCACCAGCACAACAGTGAGCAACCGGATGAAAACCAGCATTGCAACCGCGAGCGGCCAGACGGACTCTGCCAGGCGGATCAAGCCCGCGACAGTGACGCCGAGCCCGACGCGCGTGGACCCAGCGCCCCAGCCGCGCGCCCCCCCGACCCCCCCCCCGACGACGCCCCGACCGACGCCCCTCGCGACGGCGACGGCGTTTCTCGCGCGGCGTTTCTCCCCCACGACTCTCCCGGCGCCCCCCCCTCCCCCGCGCGCGGCCCGCCGCCCCCTCCCTCCAGCGCCCTGCCCGCCCGCCGCCCGCCAGTCGGGGCGTCGCGCGGCGCCCGGCTCGCCCGCCAAGCCAGCGGCGAAAGCCGGCGACTGGGCAATCGCGGACAAGCGTCCGCGCGTGAACCCACCGCCCGCCCATGAGGCCATGAGGCTCCTCGCCCCTTCCCTGCGTCGGCGGCCGTGGAATTTCCAGCGCCGCCGCCGCTTCAGCGCCAGCTTGCGAGGGGGGCCACCTTTGCCTCCGCGGCGCGAGCTCCGGCTTCTCGTCGAGACCGCCTGGGCCGCGCCGCTGGGCGCCCGCGCCCAATGGGACTCGTTCGCTTCGGGTTAAAGGGGGCGGGGCAAGGGGCGGGCGCGCCCTGAGGATGACCCGGCGCACGTTCAGCTCGAAGGGGCCCTCTTGACCCGGGTCAGGGGGGCGCAGCAGATAGGCGGTGAACTTGGGGCGGCCCGGCAACGGTTTTGCGCTCTGCGTGGCGGTGGCGACCGCGACCCTGGCCAGCGCGGCGCCCCCTTTCCTCCGCTGCCTCCTCCGCCAGCGCGAGCCATGTTGCGAGCCGCCCGTGTGCCGCCGCCCCGGCGGGACCTGGTCACGCGGGCCAGCGTTTGCGCGCGTGCATGAAGGATTCATCCACCGAGCTAGCACTGCGCGCCGGTTCAGTGCCCCTAGACCGGCCGCGCGCTGTCCGCCCAGACGGCGCGCGGCCTCTATCGGCCTTTGGTCACGGCTTGGTCGCGGGCCACCGCTCGGGTGCTTCTGGACCGACCGACCGCTGCCCTCCCCGGACGGCGCGTGGTCTCCAACGGCCTCGGCTGCAGCTGTGTTCCCTGGCGCGGCGTGCGACGCGCCCGGCGTCGCGTAGGTGGTGCCGCCCGCCTGGCAGCGGCAGTGCTGGCGCTGGGCCGCCTGGCGCCGTCGCCCCGCCTGTTGGGGTTTCTACGCAGGCGCGTGGCTCCCCCCTCCTGCCCCCCCCCCCCCGCGCCTTTCCTTCCTCGCTCCGCGCGCCGCCATGGCGCCGCCGCTGCGGCCTCGGCTGGCAGCTCCTCTTGGCGTTGGCGTTCATGGATCCTGCGCCTCGCCGCAACCGTCGCCGTACACCCAGCGGGCACAGCATTTTGTTGTTGGCAGTCTGAAACCTGGATTGCTTTCCCCGTCACTTGTAATACCCGCTCGGCCCACGCATGGGGCGGCTCCGCTGTGCGTCTCCTCGTTTGCAGCACAGAGTCGGCCCCCCACCTGGGCGGTTCCGCTGCGTGCACCCTTCCTTTCCGCGCATTGGGCATCGGCAGCGTCAGTGGATGCACCGACGCCGCGGCCTGGCCGCTGTCACGGCCCCCGCTGCCGATGCCAGCCGCGCCAACGCGCTCGGGATGAATGTCTTCCACCTCTGAGTGCCCCTTCCTCCCCGCATTCGCGGCCGTTCTGTTTGTCTCAGTCTCTCCTCCTGCACGCTGGACAATTCGCTCTTCGGCAGCCCCGAATTGCTTGATCGCTGGTGCAGTTTACCTTTTTGATTCGCCGCCGACGAACACATTAGTGTGGTGTGTGTGTTTGTGGGAGTAGTTGTGTACGTATGTCAAATTGTATGTTTGCATGCATGTATGAAAATATGCGTGTATGTATGAATGTATGGATGGATGGTATGGTATGGTGCTTATGTATGTGTGCAATATGTATGTATGTATGTATGCATGCATGCATGTATGTATGTATGTATGTATGTGTGTGTGGTGTATGTATGCCTGTATGTATGTATGTATGCAGACATGCATGAATGACTGTATGTATGTGTGTGCGTGTCAATGTATGTTTGTTTGTATGTATGTTGTTATCGATGTACCTATGTGTGTGTTTGTTTGTGTGTGTTGTTGCGATTCCTGGCTTGTCGGCCGCGCTTGCGGACTGATTCTGCCGTGATACGACGTAAAACGAGTGTGCGCTTTTGTTGTGTTGGGAGGGCGGATGAATGGTGGAGGTGGTGGAGGAAATCTCAGCTGCCGGGAACCCTCACCGGGCCCCAGAGACGTCGAACAATTGTTCGTGATGGACAGCTGGTCCCCAGGAAGGGGTCCAGACCAGAGGGCCACGTTGTGAACAGCTGCGATGCCAGATGTCTGGGCCAGACAAGAGAACAACCACTTGGGTTTCAGGAGGGGCTCCTGTTTTCGGCCGTTCGTTCGGTCCATAAGTCTGGAGAAACTGTTCGTGGCCGACGCTCGCCTTGGCCTGAACAGCCCCCTCAGTGTATGTTCGACATTCCTTGTGGTAGCACCGTGTCGGCACGCAGCTCACCCGTGCTGGCCAGGCCCCCTCCTGTGCCCAGGATGGGTGCTTCGCGGGCCAAACGCACATACGTGCCCACGGCCTCGAAGGCCCCGCCACTGGGCCGCGACCCCGCGGATGCGGGGCAGTTCTTCGCGGATGCCCCGCGCGGAGCGTAGCCGTCCGACCACGTGTCCGCGGGATCGCGCCCCAGACTCCAGACCGCCAGGGCGGGGGTACGGATGCGTTCGCCGCTCGCGATCCCTGGCCAGTGCTGGGCCCAGGATTCGGCGGCGAATCTGGCAGTTAGTGAAAATGGGCGGGCCTTCTCAGAAGGCTCGGAAACCACCCGGCTTTCTTAGACGTTTTCTAAGCCTTCCTCGAAGACACAAGCCACTTTTCAGAAGGCGTGAGGGCTTGTGAGAAATCCCGCCGCCTTCTGAGAAGATTCTCTCCTTCTCACCTCCCCCCTCGCTCGCCGCCGAGGGATGGGCCCAGCCAGGATCGGGCGAGGCGGACAGGTGACGTCCCCCGGTTTTCGGCACCTGCCGCACCGGCTTCCTCGGGCAGGTGGGCGGCGCGGAGCAGGATGCCCTTCCTTTCAGCTTTCGCCGTCTCAGCTGGGTTGGCCTTTGGATGTTGGCGGCCAGGAGGCGCCCCGCACACCGATGACGATACCCCTTACCTTGGCATCGCTCGGACGTGTGCATGCTTTCTAACGGCGAGGACCATCGAGGAGCATCCTGGATAATTGAACCAACACTAAGCACGCACGAAACCGA